TGGAAAGAAAGTGGGTGATTTAGCTAACCTGCCTTTAAAAATCTTCGCTAATGATCCGGGCATAATGACTCATCGAAACACCTCGGGAACCGCTTTCCATTTGAAAAGAACCACTTCAGGTGTTAAATGGGTAATTTGATCAATTCACAACAATTTAAGGAATTCGGTTTTTTTCATTCAAAAATGCGTTATTATAGCCAAATATCAAGTCACCATTTGTGGGAAATACAGTCAAGGATAAAGGAGACCTTTAGATCAACAGTTCGGTACTTTCTGGATTTTAACTTCAACGGGCTGGGCTGAGTGGCACGCCCCCTTCCTTTTCTTCCAACAGGGTATTCCTGTCAGTGTGACCGTCCGCGCTCAGACGACAAGTCTAGAGTGGAGGGATTTGCTGAAGCACGTTGTAAAGCCTCGGTTTCTTCCCATCCATTCTTCCCTAATCAGGCGAGATTAGATGCTTTATTTTTCTCTTACCTCCCGGTTGGGGTCCAGGAGGCATTATTCATACCTGAAATCTCGTGTTTTTCTTATTTGTTAAATGAGGAAGACCTAAAACCCTCTTAGCAGTCCAGTCTAGCTGAGCAGGTAGCATAGGCTCTTGAAATAAGGAAGAAGGAAGGCGATGCGTACTCGCCTGACCTGAAATGAACCTTCTAGAACGGGCACATTACCTTCACCCAAATCTGTTTACCATTCTAGGGAGGCGTGTTTGTTGTTTCCCCTCTGGTGACCTTGAAGCACTTTTTCATCCTGAAATGATTCACTCGGAATACGCTAATCTTCCGCCAAATATGAAGGAAAAAAGGTAAAAACAGATGCATCTTTAAATGAGTAACCCTTTGCTAGGATAAATTAAAAGCCCTAAATCAAATTGGGAGTCTCCAAAACCTCACCCACAAAATGAATGTGTGATGGAGTGGGCAAAAAAGCATTTTTTTTACATTCCCGTGATTTATTGAGTGAGGGAATCAATCCGGTTATCCCACTAATTAGTGCTCCCTCCAACACTGGCATTTAAAACGAGCCCTGAAAGGAGGGGATTTTGTTACCTGCACTTTGCAAATTGCCCTCCTGAGTGATTTTCCAACAGGGCGGATGAAAAACAGTGTCCCATGGGACATACTAATTAGCCATTCCGCCACATCCTCCCCTCCACCCCCCGCGCCTTCTTGTCCCTCGCACTCAGCCCTGCATCGGGTTGCCAACCGGCTCTTTAAGACATGAAAAACAAACAAATCACTTTCACATTCTTCCTATGCTAGTTGGACACTGCAGAGGGAGCATCATTAATTTTACCCGCTGGGACAGCTGTTGATGAAATCGGTGGACACCCCCCTTTAGCCCTCTAGTCGAGGACACTCCAAACCCACTGCTGACTTGCAAGAAATGATATTAGAGTCCCTGTCTAGATGTAGCCTAATCTCATTTCTAAAATAGCTTAAGCTACAAGTGTAGTTTTTATTTTATAGGAACAAGAGAGCCTCTGAGTTATTGAAGCCATGGCCGGTTTGCTTTGAGACTATTTAGAAATGTAAAACACTTTTCCATTTTACGATAAAAAGCATTTTTTGGTAGAACTTTACAAAGCAGAAATATAACGGAGCCTAAAACTTATTTTACACCAAATAGCTTTTAAAAAAGCCTCCAAATTCAACGTCGACAAGTTAGCCAATAAGAGGGGGACAACATCGACTGCGCAATCGGTGATTGGACGGTTATCCGTAAAACCTTCTCCCCCAATCGGCGTTGCGGTAAACGGTAAAAGGGGTTTATATCAGCTAGCAAAACCAGTCAATATTTGGGGGTATGACTCACTGCCTGTGGGTGACTTAAATACTCAGTTCACCTCCGTGTTATTCCAGCCTTTCTCATTAATAATTCAACGCCAAAATCAGTCACGCCAGTAACTGGAGGCAACAACGCTTTGGAGAGAAGGGTGAGAATGTCCCAGGAACTACCTGAGTAGTCCTGATTTAGTTATTTCGAATCCATCCTTTCCTTGGGTTCCCAAATTAAGTAGAAGAGGCGGCGTCATCATCTTGAGGGTAGAATTGACTTAAATTTATTTTCCAATTATACACGTCTAGAATCACTAGTTAGCAATGCATGACCTCGAGGCCTCGATACTTGCATTCGATTAACTTTGACAACTGAGTGAGCCCGAGGGTGGTGCCACCACCTGAATACACTGGTATTTACACGGATTCGTCATCCACCAAGGTCCGGTGTTTTCATTGACACCCCTACCCCCGCCCTCCAAGTCACGTGATGCGGCCCTCCATTATAAACATTTTGCGTGCAAATCCAACTTCATTACTTCTTACTGCGACAGCGAGGCCATCCCGTGGGGAGGTTGTCGGAGGGTCCTTTTTACTTTCCGTCGGAGTCAAAGGAATTTTTTAAATAAGATTTCTGCATTTTCAGGGTGTTAGGGAACCCACTTGTGGATAGGACTCCATATCAGCTCAGCGGAGATTATTCGAACCGTGTGGAATTAGTCATGGTGGATACAGAAAGATAATAAAATTTGGATGAATTGCAAACTCGGCTTGTGATTTCCCTGGTCCAGTCATCAATGAAGAGGCACGCTCAAAGACCGTTAGGTTTTGAGATTATTTCCCAACCATATTCATATTTACTGCTCTTGGGAGTTGAAAAAATTCAATCATCTTCATTTCTATCAGTGGCAGTGCCAGGTGCTGTTGCGTTGAAGTCCTGGAAGTGGTGATTCCTGAAAGACCATGGGAATCGCTATTCTAGGAAATCTGTTGCAAAGTCTTAAGGAACCCGAAGATGCCTAGCAAATTAAACAAAGCTTTGACATTAATGACGTGCAGTCCTTATGTGGATGTTCACCTTTACTGTCTTGGCTGTCGTCCATCTCAATGGTTAGGGAGGTTTTTCAATTCCCCTTCTCTCTGCCTAGTAAAGATAAACAGAAATTGCGGCCCTAAAGATAAAATAAAGATAAGGCCTTTTTTCACCACTGAATGCAACAAATAAACTGATTTATAACAGGCAATTCAAGATGTCATGGGGAATTCAAGAGTTCCTTGGGTGTAGGCATGGGAACTCAAGTCACCCACTAAATTGGGCTGTAGTTCAAACGAATAGGGGACTTTGAACTTAACGCACCTAATCACCACTACCGCAACTGACAGTGTCAGTCACCTCATCTTGATTCAGCATGACTGGACGGTACTGCCTGCACCTGCCCATGCGACTTGTGCCGGCCATCATTTGCTAGGAGCAGGACACACCACGGAAACATGTGTAAGAGTAAAATCTCCGCCTTGACTTCAAAGCACCTCGTATGTTGATGTACTAGGGCAATAGGCTAACCAATTAAGCGTGACAAATGTGTGAGGACAGAGAGAGCGAGTGATGGAGGCACCTGGGGATGAAAGGAAGATGGTCCAAAGGGAAAGGCGGCACTTCAGATGGGGGGACACGCATTAAGCCTCGCATCCGCGGTCCAGCACCACTAGCAGCGCTGGCCAATTTGTAGTTCGCGTAGTCAATTGATGACATGTGATGTGGGTACTGTCACCACCGTCACCGCTATACCACCGTGGTGAACTGCGCCAACCTGAATGCAGCCTATGGCAGACCTTGGTTAAAACTAATGCCTGATGGGGGAGGGGTCGACTTTCCACTTCGCTACCCTAGCCAAGAATGGTCAGAAAGGGGATTCACTAATTCAGTTTTTCCTTCCTGTTCAATTCAAATGTAATTATTGTGGTGTAAACCGGTCAACCACGCCTGTCTGAAGTAATTTTTATTGTCAATGCCCTACTTTACATGGGAGCAAAGGTTCCCTTTTCCTAATTCATGTCTAGGGGTATCACTGTGAACCTGTGCCTTCCTTTGAGGTCACAACTCATGACATTTATTGAGCAGGGCCGTGTCGTGTCAGGATGACGAAAACCGTTGAAGTTGCTTTCAACAAGTTGAGGGAGAAGATATCACGTCCGATAGGCGGCGAAGGGACACCGAAACAGAGAGGATGAAATAAAATTGGGACCTTTGCTTTAGCATACCACAGAACCAACTAAAAAGGTTATGGGATACTTTGTAGATTTTAGCGTATGTGGCGTCTAACTTCCCTTTCTTTAGCCCTACATGTAACGTCACACATATGTGACAGGTGTTCTCTGTCGGAAAAGGGACGGTAGAATCGAAAAATCGAGCCCATTTAAGACTTTCGTTATTCTTGTTTTGAGGGATAATTACACTTAGTTGTCATGTAACAATTATTTTTTTAAAAAATAAATGTCACTATTAGGAGTAAAGCATCCGGCTTGTTGTGACTGAGTTTTAACTAATACTCACGTATAGAATCCTTTAAAAAGGTCTACAATTAAGGCAATGGACACTTAATTAATCACTTTTTACTTAACAGTCAGTCACTGCTTCCGTTTCTTTAATTGAGAAGGTGGAAGTTTAGGGCTGCAACTCTAGCGTCCCGTAGGGTCTCAGCGAGGTTCCATTAAAGGCGCAGACATACCATTCACGCAAAAGGGCAAGCAGGATGTCCAAATCAAATTGGCCATCTGTGGTTATCATGGGAGTTCTTCCTCTCAACAGATGAACTGTACCCACTAAGATCAGTGTATTTAACACCCACCTCTATCCCAATGACTAGGAGTTAGGACCTACGACGCTTGACATTGCTTCGGCCTGAGGGTCAAGAGGTGGGGAAGTCAATTTACCTCAAGCATAAGTATTACACATATGTCGAAAAACAAGTGATATATTTTAGGCAAAAGATCAGGTTGTCCGTGAACTGGTAAATGAAACAACTGTCAAGGTCTAACGAGTGACAGTTGGGATACCGTCGAGTGGTGGCACACATGGAGTATTTATCTACTTATTCTTCTGCCGCTTTCCAGCCTTTAGATATTTGAGCAGACACAACCAGTTTTGACACTTCAACTTTTACGCATTCGATAAATTGAAGGCTTTTTCCTTAAGTAGCAGTTTCACTTGAGCTCCCGCGGACCTTCAACTAAGGCTGCCTTTACTCAAAACGAGATAAAGGAAGCATAAAATTCATCTGAGTACGACATTTAATTGACTCATTAAATGTCTATTACTCTAAATGGAATCATTTTTTCGGGTGTTCGAAGAAGAAATTAAAAACTTCGTCTTTAATCTGTAGGCCATTTCATTTTTAACGACCAGTGAATTAAAGAAGACACTAAAAATTCCTTACGTGTACAATTTTTCTCTAGAGAATGGACATGTGAAAATCTTAATCATACCCAAACACAAACTTTGACAATTAAGCTTCAACAAAATCAGATTTAAAAAGGAAATTCATTCGACGGATTAATTAATACTAAGAGGCATTGACGCTCTCAGCGACTATTGGTTAGTCAGCCTCCAATCAATGAGCTGCTCTAGTTATCGATCGGATTTTCCACCAATGCATTGTTACTGGGATACGCACGTTGACGTTGCCAGGACCACTCAATCAACGTGACAACTTCAGAAATATAGGTCAGTCTTCCACTCTCCACTTCTCCATTTCGCTAATGCTGACGATTTGGACGATGGGGAATCCCTGCCCATCAACTATCGTCCATGACATAATTGGAGGCGGCTTGCCCCTGCCACCAACTTCCACCAATTCGGTAGTAGATGCCCTTTTGCACCAAAAAAGGGAAACAACCAGCTCCATCCCAACAAATTGCAAACTGAAATAGGCGTTTAAATTGTCCCATTTCGAATGCATTTGTGAAGCTCCACCCTGCATATTGTTTCGAAACTGATTCCACGCTTACAGTTGAAATGCCAAAGTGATGCATTAAAATGTCAAATCTCATCTGATTTACTTGCCTCCTGCCACAGTAGCCCACGTTTAGATGACTGTGCAATAGAATGGGATAGAATGGGATGGATGGTGATGGTGATGGTGATGGGAATGGAATGCCATCAACTCACTCCATTCAATGGTCATTGCACTTGACCTCATCCAAGTGGCCACAGACTTGTGTGTGTGTGTGTGTGTGTCCCACAGACACTTCAAGTGGAGGACACATAGACCAAAGCACAGCAGGGTAAAATGATGGATGTTCAGGGCACAGACATTCTGCCATTTCCCATCTCCCATTTTAGCTGCCCACGCTGTCGCGTTTCCCTACCCATCGTGCAGTTTCCACTCCCACTGTCATCATTGCTTGTATAATTCATTAGTCACAATGGGTGCCACATTTGCTGCAATATCTCACACACACACACACCCACACACAGTACTGACCCCTCAGGAGACTGCATTCAGTGGCAAACTTTCCCTAATTCCCTCACCAACTCACCATTCCTCAGCTTCGTTTGCTAGTGACAAACGCACAAATTTGCTTCACTCACGAGATCCCTTGTGTCGAATGCACATCTCACTTTCGCTGCGGTCATTGGCAACCAGAACCAAGGATTCGCCCCCAACCACGAGCAGTTTTCAACTACTTCCAGTGTATTCCGCATTTACAAAACTGGCTCCTCTTATTTCTCCTCCACCGTCACGCCGTCAATGCGCAATGGAGACACGCACACTGATACCGATTGAAGACCCAAAATCTTACCATGTCTATGGCTTCTCATCTCTTCTCCTCTCTTCTATCACTTCTCTGACATATTTTTCACTGAGGGGCAAGATATGCCGTGGAGAATATGGTGCGGAACCTATGCAAAAATGGAACAGCTATACACTGATGATGGTAATTCCAAATGCACTTCAGATAGACAATAGATTACCAACAATCCTCTGCATCTTCTCCTTCATTTTCTCTTTTAGTTTGTCCATGCAGCTCTCTCTTCTTATTCACCTCCACCGACGCCTCCCTCCCTCCCTCCCTCCCTCCCTCTCACTCACAGCAAGTGTATCTTTCGGGTCCACATTATTCAGTTCCTCTTTCCTATTCACGACTTGCTTTTAGCATATTTGTCAAGTAGTCCACCCAATTAACTTCTTCACTTCATTTTCAATGCCTACAAGTGTTCAACAGCTTAGCACGCAGACCTCACACGCAACATCACATCGCATCACACCCACTGGATGGCTTCACATCCACCGCCAAACTGCCCTTTTACTGCACACATCTGTCATCTCAACACACCTTCGTTAACCACCCTCCTATCCATCAGCTGCTTTAAACAGCCATCTTGTTCTGACCTCTGGGTCACTATCAGCGAATGCGTGTTTACGCTACGCAAGGCACCACAGTGAATTCACTCAGTGTGCTGTCACAGAACCCACTCGCACAGCATTGACTTAGCTTACTGTCACACTTGGCATTGAATGGCTTGTCATGCAGTAAATTGAATGGGAGCCACAGGAAGGCATGCCTTTCCTCACACAAGATTCACTCTTTCCTGCACTCGTCAACAGTGCCACAGACTCCAAACTTGAAGGTCACTACTTTCCAGATGCATTGCAGTTGACGTCATTCACGTCGAGACAGCCAAAGGACAGGCGGTGTGTTTGATCCCTCCACACGTCAAGTGGTGACCACGTGTATCTCACTGAATCAAACAACCACATTGCAAATGCATCCTGACAATTTGGATCGTTTCCTCTGACACCTCCATCACATCGCATCGACAGTAGAACGGGAAGTCGAGTCGTCTGACAGGTGTGACAATTCAACTGCAAATCTCCCACAAATCCCCCTCCCCCCTTTTTGTGTGTCAGCCAACCTTCAATGCGGACACAATCAAACGTTATTTTCACTGCAGTTTCGGTTGCTACTGCCATTCACGACATCATTGGCTGTTGGTAAGCACTATCCCAATCGTCAATCGTGAGGTGGCAGTGGTGATGAGGGAGGTGTTGAAGATGGAGGTGAATTAAAAGGTGCCTTTGTTGGATGAGCATCACATGTCAGGACAGGATCACCATAAATGCCAACCTAACATGAGCTCGGTAGAGGAGCAGTGGAGGTGAGCGCTCATCTTTCAACCACTTCAACTACCCACTGGCTGTGGCTGTGCCCCCACTCACACTAGGAAGCGATCACCCTACCAACAGGTTTGACAATACTGTGGCAGATTCACATGAACCCAAGGCACAACTGCCATTCGCCTTCCCTCCACATCCACCGCACCACTAAGTAATGCTATCTCCAGCTCTTCACCTCATGCCCAGGTCACCACATCCATCACAGCCTTCGTCCCTCTTCCGCTGCACTAGAAGTGACGTGAAAACTGCCCCACTTTGGGTTGGCACAGAATGCCCCTTGGTTTCTTACTTCACCACCACAACATCGGTCTTTGTGCTGACACCCCATCCTCATTTCCATTCTCCCGTCACCTGTCAACCAGTAATTCAACCGCCCTAAATACCTTTCCTCTCCATCTTCATTTCTCCCTGTTTGCATTCCATCTTCCCACCGCCACCGCCACCGCCACCACCACCACCACCATCATCACCCTCCTAAAGGCTACTTGTAGCAAGCGAAATTGGCTTGGAACAGCGTTGCTACTTTTCCCTTCTATTCCCAATCCAGTCTCTTCCATTCGTCAGGCTTGTAATTCAATCCACGTGTGCAGTTAGTCAAGTGTCCTTGTTAAACCAACTGACGCTCTCTATGCTTCACACACCTTCCCAGTGCAATCGCGAATACCACGCTTGGCTGAGATGGCTGAGATGGTAGGCAGCGTTTTGCACTGCGATCCCCTTGCAGTCTTCAGCTTATTCGACCCACTTCTGACGAAGAAGCAGGAGATGGTGTGTGTGTGTGTGTGTGTGTGTGTGTGTGTGTGTGTGTGTGTGTGTGTGTGTGTGTGTGTGTGTGTGTGTGTGTGTGTGTGTGTGTGTGTGTGTGTGTGTGTGTGTGTGTGTGTGTGTGTG